AGGGAGTGCAGCACGGTAGCGAGTGTCACTAGTGCGGAGGTGCGTAATGAGGTCAGCGACTGTGGGAAAGGCAGCAAGGTCAGGAAAGAGGTACGGTAGCATGAGACGGCTCAGTGCAGCAGTGGCAGGGGAGGAGTAGCGCGCAACTACAGCGTCGTACAAGGTCTGAGCACTCTTGTACTGACTAAAGTGCGCACGCTCGGAGGTAGGGAGGTGGCGACGCACAGCAAGACGTGCAGCAGCGTCGCGCGTGGCCCACTGGGAGCGAACAGTGGCGTCAGCATCAGCAGCAGGGGCAGTGGAGGCGCCAGAGGTGAGGTCAAAGAGAGAGAGGCCGTCTGCCCTATCGCACTGTAAGAACAGCTGCAGGTCATCTACCCAGACCTCAAAGTCAATGGCCCGACCCTCACCGTCAAAGGCGAGAACACTAGGGGTAGCCATGACCCTAGACGACTAGCAGCGCAAACAGTAGGGTGAGGGCAGTGCAGTGAAAAGGCGCTGTGCTCACCAGACTGGGCAGGTCGGGCGGCCCGGAAGGAGGGCGGCGCGGCGGCTCGGCGGCTCAGCTGCTGGGCGGCTTGGCGGGTCGGCGGCTCCGCTGCTGGGCGGCTCGGCTGCTGGGCGGCTCGGCTGCCGGGCGGCTCGGCTGCTGGGCGGCTCGGCTGCCGGGCGGCTCGGCTGCTGGGCGGCTCGGCTGCTGGGCGGCTCGGCTGCAGGGCGGCTCGGCTGCCGGGCGGCTCGGCTGCTGGGCGGCTCGGCTGCTCTGCTGTCGGGCGGCTCGGTTTTGCTGCTGAAGGGCGGCACGGCGGTCAGCTGCTCGGCCGGGTGAGACGGCTCGGGCGGCTAGGGTGGCGGGCGGCGCTGCAGCAGGTGACGGGGCCGAGAGCGAGGTGGCGGGGCCGCAGGTAGGGTGGCGGGGCCGCCGAGTGAGGCAGCGGGGCCGCTAGGTAGGGCGGCGGGGCCGCTAGGTAGGGCGGCGGGGCCGCAGGTAGGGTAGGGCGGCGACGAGCCAGGCGGCGACGGGCCGGGACAGGCGGCGCACGGGCCACAACGGGCGGCGACGGGCCGGGGGAGGCGGCGCACGGGCCGCGACGGGCGGCGACGGGCCGGGCGGCGACGGGCCGCGACGAGCGGCGGCGGGCCGGGACAGGCGGCGCACGGGCCGCGTCGGGCCGCGTCAGGTGGCGACGGGCCGGGACAGGCGGCGCAGGGGCCGCGTCGCACGGGACGGGCGGCTCACGTGGCCGGGGCGGGCATCAAAAGGGCGGCGGGCGGGCCGCGTAGGGTGGCGACGGGCCGCTAAGGGCGGCGACGGCCGAGCAAGGGCGGCTCGAGGGAGGCCGCGACGGTAGAGAGAGGACCCGAGGCGCGACTCGGGCCTAAGCGGAGCGCGCTTCGGGCAGAAACAAGAGTGGATGAACTATGAATGAAGTGGGTACAAGTACTAACCCTAATTGGGTTGTACCCCCTATGGGATACCCCACTACAGCCTACACAAAAGTATAAGCTATAACGTTCTGACAGGAGGGGGGGTGAAGGGAAGATGAGAGGAGTTTCAGGGGGTAGGAGGGTGGAAGGGTTCAGGCAGGGACGGAAATGGGTCGAGACTGGGCGAAGGGCCATGCTCCAGGATCAGGGGAGCGGGGCGAACGTACTTAGCGTTTAGGGTTTTTAGGTGATGCGAACGTGAGCACGTCTGAAAGCACCTAAACCCTGGCTCTTCCAAAAGAGGAGTGACGCACTCCTTATGCCACGTGAACCAAGTGGATGCCGCGAGGAGCTGCTGCTACTTGGTTTACGAAGAGTTGCGACGCTACGTTTTCAATGTGGGAATAAATTTCAGCATCGTCCACTGTGAACTTCGAACCTGACAACGTCGTTAAGCGAGCTCGTGACAACATCGCTGCACCACGCCAACACCACCCCGTAGCTGAATACATCAACCGCTTTTGGGGGTTGGTGCTGGAGATTTCTGATGTCCCTACCTCTAAGCAGATTCGTACTGAGGTGGAGCTTCTCGGATGCACAACGATGGATGACATGATTCGTGTAGCGGAACACTTCGACACGATCGATCTCGCAGCGTTCCAGCGTTTCAACGGCGTGGGGATGTGACACACAAATCACACTCCAGGGTTTTGTGCAAATGTTTCTACGTCAATGGAGCTGGAAATGATGGAGGGGAAGTCGCGGAACACATCAAACCACGTGTGCTACCAATGCCGGAAGATTGGCCACATCAAGCGGAATTGCCCGAATCGCCGGAATGATGGAGCGAGTGGGTGGAGGGGAAGGGGGGGCGTAAGGGGAAGGGGAAGGGGACGGGGCAGAGAAAGGGCGGGCCAGGTGGGGGAAGGGGAGAATGGCAACCGTGGCCGGCGCAGGGAGGAAAAAATCAGAGGGGAGCCGAGGGAGGACTGGGTAGAATTAATGCAAGAGGGGGCGGGTGGGGGGATTGGGGACGTAGTTGGGAGTGGGCGGACCAATTAAGAACGTCCGAGGCATGAGAACGAAGAGGCGAAGGTGCCATAACTACAGTAACGATTGCCCGCACTCACGCTGTCGGTGCTGACCCCCAATACCATGCCTAGCAGCATCTGGGAGCGTATGGGGGCCGGCGGTGGGGGGTGGGGGGGGGGATGCATGGAGGGGAGAATGCAAGGAGGGTGTGGCCCCTCTTTTCCCAACGTTTTGGGGGGCGGGGCAAATGGGGAGGCAGGTTGGCGATGGCAGGCCTGGGGAAGAATTAGGGGGGAGGGAGAGGACGATGAGAAGGGGGGCGCGGAGAGAGGCTGAGTGTGTAGGGAGGAGGAGGAGAGTGGGGAAGCGGCGCACCGGAGGGCCCACAGCAGCCGCGTTCCCGCAGGGCACAGCGAATCGACGAATGGGTGGCTGCAAGCGTGGAGGCAGTGCGCCAGGGCGCACAGGAGTGGGAGGAAGAGGGGGGGGAGAAGGAGGGTGGTGAGAGTGGAGGGAGGGCAACAGCAGCAAGTGACGCCGCAGCAGTGGCACCAAGTTGGCCTGCCGGTTGGCTCCCCTCCAATGCCTCCAGCTCTGTCGTGGACCCTTCTGACTCATGGCCGAACGACAACAGCAGTAACGGCGACCACGCTGACCCGGAGACCCACCGCGATGACGCGGACTACGATTGCGAGGACTTCGACGAAGCCTACGCCGCTGCGATTGAGAATTCTCAAAAGCTAACTACTACTTCCAACCTCTCTGAACCTGCGAGTAAAAACCTCAAAGAGTGGTGCGACCTGCATGGCGACCACCTGCACGATCGCACCAGACTGCATTGGCAAGGGCTCGGATAAATGGTGGGACGGGCTGCATGCTCTACTGCGACACGCCTATGGGGTCAAAAGAAACGTGCCTGCACACAGGGCGTTTGCGATGGAATTAGAAATGCTGCTGCAGGAAAAGGGAGCATTGCGAGTGGCTTCGAGGGGGCAGTAGCGACTGGACCAATTCCAGGCTGCTCGTCACTGCTGCTGCTACCCCTCCTGCAGCTGCCACTCATGCTGGGGAGTCGACCACACCAGTAGCAGTGGAACGTGTGCGGAACTTTGTCGGGGCAGCGCTGCGGTTCACAGTCAATAGTCGGTTCCTCGTGAAACCCAACCTTACGCGCCCGACGTTGACCATCCGTCGTCATACTTAGGTATCTCTTCGTATTGATCGCCAAGCATTTGGTATTGCTTCTGCAACTTCCGGGTGTTGCTGCAACCCCAAGGTCCCACTCTTTCCCTCACCACGCCCGTCGAACGTGCACACCCAATTCAGTGCCGACATCATCGGCTAATAATATTGTTCCTTGCCCCTGCACCCTGCTACCGAGTTCGATTGTCCGCTCATCCACGACACGGGCTGTTGGAGGCATTCGCCCAAATGTGCAGCAGCAGCAGCAGCAGCAGCAGCAGTGACCAGCAGCAGCAGAAGCATGACCAGCGGCGGCACAAGGAGCAGCGGTGGAAGCAGGGTATGCAAATTCACAATCAGCATCAGCAGCAGAAGCACACCGAGCAGCTGCTCCTCAGGCTGCACCAGGTCGCTATAAACAACATCCGGGGATTCGCTTGGATGGAGAGCGCTCGAGTGCACGAATTTAAATCGCTGTAAACAAGGGGATAGACAGAAAAATTGATGGTCCAAGGAACTGGAGCAACAGCTTGGCTGCTTCTAACGTAACATTTATGCGGAGGCTGATACCATCCGTCTACATTTCGTTTTAGCGTAACATTCATGCGAGGCATGCGCGTATGAGGATCGAGCAGAGGTGGAAGGGGGTGACAACGGGGAAGGAGGAGACTAGATTGATGGCGGACGACTCAAATGTGGCATGGACAGCGAACATATCGGAGGAATGGAGACGGGGATTGGAGAGCAACAACGAAGATGTACAAGGGGATTGGGGAAGAGGAATGACAACGGTGGAGGAGTGCTGGAGCGATGAGATGGTGGATTCGGAGCGATGGAACAAGGTGGCAATACCTCCCCCATTCCACCGCTCTCGGCTCTGCGCTTCAAGAGCTTTCCCTCGACAGTCTTCCAGAGCAAACATATTTGCACCAGCATAACCTTTCACGGCTCGCACAACTGCGGGGGACTCTCGGGCAGTTGGCACATCCGCGGGAGCTTGAGGTAAATGATTGTACGCAACTATAGCAATTGCTGATTTCCTTGACCACCCAGCGTTTGCACAATCTTTTCCTGTCTACCCTTTCGCTCATCTTCCTCTGTCTGCACACGTCCCCCCCCCCCTCCACCCCCCCCCCCCCCCAACGTTTATCCTGCCTTGTAGTCTGCCGAGATGCCAGGCCCCCTTTCTGTTTTCTTGGAGCTGCACCTCCTCTACATGGATTCGATCATCTTCCTCTCTCCCTCTCTTCCGATTCAACCCAATCCGCACCCACTGTTGATGCTGCTGCTGCTGCTGGGGCGATTGCTTCTTCTCCTATCTGTACTGCTGCTCCTTCTGCTGCATCCTCTCCACAAGTTCACCCGTCCAACCACACTCCACCCCCTGCGCACCCCTTTCTCCCTTCTCTCAGCAACATCTCTTCCCGCTGCTGGTGCCGAGGCGGTGGGGAGGGTACAAGGAGAGGAGGGGGAGAGCGATGACGGTGCGAGGAGCGGAGGGAAGAGCGGGCAAGAAAGTGTAGGATGAAAGGGGTTACAGGCAGTGGCGGTTGGGGGAGGAGCGGAGGGGAAAGTGGGGGAGGGAGTGGGGGAGGCAGTGGGGGAGGCAGCGGGGGAGGCAGTGGGGGAGGCAGTGGGGGAGGCAGCGGGGGGAGCAGCTGGGGGGGGGGGGGGGGGGGGTGCCATTGAGAAGGGTTGTTGAGGGAAGCGTGCGAGTGCCAGGTCGTGGATTTTGCAACGACATACAACCAGTGCAGCAACTTGAGTCGGAGGAGGGGCAACTGAGGCAAGAGAAGCTGCACAAGGAAGAACAACCATTGCAGCATTAGGTGCAGTATCAGACGCAATCAACGATCTATTCCTTCTCCTTTCACATGTTTCCTCGTCCAGTCCCCTTTTTCCAACCTCACTTGGTTGCTTGCTGCTCATCACCACCCCCCTATTCCTGTTGGGTTTCCCACAATTGGCTTTTCCGACACTCTAACACTTGCGGATATGGGTATCATATTTCATTGCAATTCTGCTGTGTATTGCAGCATGTGCATGCGTATCATCTCACCTATGCTACCCCCCCCTCACCCCCCCCCCCCCCCCCCCCCCCCCCCCCCCCCCCCCCCTTGTGTTTCACTCTCGATACGTCACCTACTATTTGCCCCCTATCCACCCTCCCCTCCGGAACTCACTATTTGCCACCCCACTTCCTGCCTACTTTTCTCCCCTTTATAGGGAGCTGCTCTACAGGGGCAGAGTTGCAATGGGTTCCAGTGACTGCACATACCGGGTCTACAATGCAGACCAGGATCGCATGCCCTATAGGTCATCACGCATATGTGGCCATCATAACATGTTATGTTAGCGTATTAATGGTAATGCTTTAGGGATGTGTCAAGGATCAGTCCCCATGTAAATAATTATATTAATTCCATCGCCCAAATACGTCACACTGGTCATTGAACACGCGGAAAGTCAAATTGGTCAACTGAATATTGTTAATGCCAGACTCTGCATGCTGATGTAGCTTGCAACCTGCTCAAACCTTACGGAACGGGTTTCCTTACAGAAGCAGAGGGCCATATTACTCACATGCGGCAAAGGTCACGCTCTTGCCATCAACCATGTTACGGTACGTCCCTCTCCATACACTTCTTATCTTATACAGCACCACTTAGTTTTTCAGCAACATATATCTGAAAAGGAGCAGGGGGGTTGGGAAGTATAAAACAGGGGCAACTCAGTCAAAGGGGCAGGCAGCGTGGGGGAGGAGGTAGGCAGAATTGCCGAAAGGGGGCAGGCAAGGAAGGGGAGGAAGGCAGACATGGCAGGGAAAGGGTGGCGGACAAGGGGGAAAGGATGCCAGTCAGTTGGGTGGTGGAACCTTGGCCTCTAGTGCAGGAAAAGGAAAACCAGACAGGTGGGGGAATTGAGCGCGGGCAGAGTAGGGAGGGTGGTTGGGGGGGGGGGGGGGGGGGGGGGGGGGGGGGGGGGGGGGGGGGGGGCGCAAACAGCCGTAGCGAAAAGATATGGGATTGGGATGGTGTGCTAAGGGGGGAAACTGAATGCAAGAGGGGGGAAACGAATGGTGTGCTAAGGGGGAAAAGTAAATATATGCAGTGCAAATATTCTTAGTATCAACGATACCGCGTACTGCTTAGGGGCCATGATGTCAACTTTACAGAAGAGGTTGTGCCTTCGTTGCTCATGTGACATTGGTAGGATCACCTATGAGCAGGGGAAACATCGCAACAGCAGCAGCAGTCTTGCCGAACGTCGCAGGCCCGCTGCACCTCCGGAGTCCGTACCTCCAGCGTCAGCACCTCCTGAGCTAGTTCCTCCAAGCCCAGCACACCTAGAGCCAGCACACCTAGAGCCGGCACCCCTTGAGCCAGTTCCTCCAGCGTCAGCATCTCCAGAGCCAGCACCTGCAGCGGTGATTCTAGAAGAGTGTGCAGCAGTGGTGCCAGTGCTGTAAGGTGCCAAAGCCGATCGGGTGGCAGCTCGGGAGGCAGCTCGAGTCGTGATGCAAGGAGCAGTCACAGCTGTAGCACGAGTGGCAGCGGCAGATGCAACACGCTGAGAGGCATGGCGAGAAGCATAGGCTGTAGCACATGGTCGGAACACGGGAGAATTAAGGGTGCAAACACGAACGAGGAGGAGAAGGACAAGCGTTGAGGGGTAGAGGTAGAGTTGAGCATTTGCCCCGCTCGGGCCGGGCTGACCCGACTCGACCCGTGGTTTAGCCCGGGTCGGGTCAGGGTTTCCATAGGCCTGCCCCGTATGGGCCGACCCGACCCGACCTGGGCGGAAACCCGACCCGAGAGTTTAACTCGGGCCGAGTCGGGCCGAGTCTCGGGCCGGGCCTGACCCGACTCGAATTCGGGCCAAAATCTTCGAAATCGGGTCGGGCCAAGCGCGCGACTCGATTTCGACAGGGTTGGGCCGAAACCCTAGACACAAAAGAAATCGAGAGGAGTTTCTACCCGTCGACTTCAATTCGCCACACTAGCACCAGATCGACTTAGATCAAGAGCAATGTCACATAAACTACCTCAGTACTTATGATACAGCACACGAAATCAAAGAGATTTACTTTCCTTAGTAAAGTATTTCAGCCACCTTTCCATTAGCGCGATCTGTATTTTTCTTCCTCCACGCTTCGGCCTTGGCACGCACGCGGTAATAGCCTCCTTTAGCAGAAACCGCAACTGCATTTCGCATAGGTTTGGGGCGGCCGCTTGCACTGTGACGGGTAGGCCGCGAGCACACGTCGAGGCCCGTTCAGTGGGGGAGCGGTTTTCGGGCGCGAACCATGTCAGACACTGACGGTGATCCTGCCAGCTCCAGGGCAATTCCTGGAGCATGCCTCGTTGCCCTCGGAATCCCATCCTTCGGGGAGGGTTTCGAGTTGGGGCAGCTCTCCCCAGGTGCTGACGCTGCTGCCCACGAAGAGGGCATTGCGAGGAGGCGGGCTTCGGAGGAGCAACGATGGCAGCAGGCAATGGACGAGCTGCAAGCTACTGGTCAGCAGTCTGTTGAAGAGCGTCGTGACCCGACATGGATGCCCGGTAATGCGGATGCTGCAGCTAGTGATGGTGAAAGCAGTGGCGAAGGGGGGGGGGGGGGCGGTTGGGGCAGAAAAGAGCACGTGTGGGTGGCCCAAGTGCCACTGGAGGTGTTGTACCTACTGCCGGGTCTGCTCCAGCCGCTGGTGCGCCTGCTGCTGCCGCTACTGCTGCTGCTACCGCTGCTGCTACGGCTCCTGCTGCTGCTGGGCGTCCGCCCGCTGCTACTGCTGGTGCGCGTCCGAGCGCTGCTGTTGCTGTTGCTGCGCCCACTGCTGGTCGGCGCGCTGTTGGTATTTCTTGGGCCTCTATCAATGCAATGCGGGAGGCCAACCAGCAGCCAACCACGAATGGCTTGGATCCTATTGTGAAGAGCGCTCTGGGTAGGGGATAGCAGGGTTTGGTGAAAGGCATGTTCGGGGCGCTGGTGAATGATAGGTGGCGATGCCTTACGTACAACAAGGAGATCATGTGTGTTAGGTAACACGAGTTCGGGGGGGGGGGGGGGGGGGGGCATTACCAGAGGAAGCATTATCCTAGCCTTCAGATTTGGGTCCGTCGCTTCCTGGATCCAAACAAGCCCGATGGGCTTGTTTTCCCGGATGGGGGTTGGGGACCTACGGTACACGATAAGACCAAGTGGCCTTGGGAGCATACTTACGCTAGATTCATCGAAGTGCATCGTGAGAGGAATGCGCAGTCCGTGAGGCCCGGCCAGGTCGGGTCGGGCCGGGCCGGGCCGGCTACAGGTGTGGCAAGTGGAGCGGGAGCAAGTGCATGACTGCTTGCAGCTGAAGGCGGCCACCCTGCTAACGTTGCAACCACAGGCTGAGCCGTGGGAACCGAAACGGGGAGGAAAGAGGGGGGGGGGGGAGAGAGGGTACGAAAAAAGGTGAGGAAGTAAACACGAGAAGCATACGGGCCTGCATAGATGGACGAGGGGCAATTGAAGTTTCATATAGCAAGAGTAAGAGTGACATGCATGATTCGCTTTCCTCAATGTACCCACTAGCAGCTCCCAGCATTGGACACAAACGAGAAGTTGAGAGCTTTTCACATGCAACGCATTCGTGAGAACCCTGGTAACATAACCGAACTCACATGGTCGGTGTGGTAACTGATGACAGCTCTCCCATCTTTGCGAGCTACCCATTGAGCAGAATAATAATGCCCCTAAAAAACGCAGAATGGTCATGTCAAAAGTCTAGGCAGGAATCAGAAACACGAAAGGAGGGGTTTTCACTAGCAGGCAGTTGAGTACATATAGCAAACCCTAATTTGGGCTGTACTCGCTATAGAGTACCCCACTGCAGGCTAGACAAACATCACATTCTGACACACCCCCATAGTCAAAGTGGGGTACAATCAACACAACAAGCAGGCAGAGCAATAGTTCACAAGGATAAGCAAAGCTAGAGGCTATCACAGAGGGCAAGTGAGGAGGAGGAGAAACTGTGGGGGGCGAGAAGATGGGAGGCGACGGCTGAAGCTGCAGACACACGGGCAACAGGAGTGCGCAGCACTGACGCTACCAGGCGCAGAGCCCCGGACTACACGGCGACAGGCGCAGCTGGCTCTCTGTGCTCCCAAGAGTGCTCACACTGTGGCTACCGGGCGCAGAGCCCCGGACTACACGGCCACAGGGGGTCGTGGCTCTCTGGACTACCAGGAGTGCTCACACTGTGGCTACCGGACGCAGAGCCCCAGACTACACGGCCACAGGGGGTCGTGGCTCTCTGAACTTCAGGCGCTGCGTACGACAAGTCGGCTACCTCCGGTCAACCTCCCCCAACTGTCCCACACCCCTTTCACACACTCCCTGCTGTACCCCAAGCACTGCTCACACGCCACCCCCCTCGTATCACTCCGACGGCTCCAACACATCCACCCCCCTGAGCGGCAGCTGCAGCAGTGGGAGACGGAGGAGGAGGAGGAGCAGGGGACGGCGCACACACCTGTCACCCCCAAACTCGCCACCCCCACACTCGCCATCCCCAAACCCTAACACAGGCAGCAGCGGGGGGCGGTGCGCGGGCAGCAGCTGGGGGGACGGCGCGCGGCTCGGGCAGCAGCTGTACGGGCCGCGCACGGGCCTGACGCGGGCTGTACGAACCGCGCGCGGGCTGTACGGGCCGCGCGCGGGCCTGGCGCAGACCGTACGAGCTACGCGCAGGCCTGGCGCAGCCCGTACGGGCCGCGCGCGGGCTGTACGGGCCTCGCGCGGGCCTGGCGCAGGTCGCGCGAGCCGCGTCGGGCGAC